AGCATACCTTGGTCTTAATCACAGACTATTTATAGTGTTTTGGAGCTCCGGGATTCTGAGCAGGTGTGCAGAAGTGGTGAGAAACAAACTCCTTTGTTAGTGACAGAAACTGTAATTTTCCTTAAATAAACAAAGGAAAGTCTTGAAATACAAAGAAAGACAGATGCTGTGCTTTCATTGCAACTTATTTACAGAGTTGACGTTGACCCAAATATTATATTTGTAAGACTGCTTGTCATCTTTTCACCATGTGGTTTATCTTGAATGGTTATTAGTTATTTAAGACCAATCACAGCCTGCATTCCCCCTCTGTAGCTGCGGGGGCTTATCATTCAAACAGATCCTCACAGATAAAATCAGCACACGAGAGGTGTGGCTGGGAATGCAGGGAACCCAAAAAATAAACAGGATTTGTGATTTGTCACTATGGTGGCATTACCAGAATGACACCAGAGGGTTATAAGTGCTTTGTATTAATTGTATCTGATCTTTTTGGCTCTTTCTTAATGAATAAACTCTTTAAATTTCTTTAGGCAGGTTGAAGCAGTGGTGGGATGGGATTTTAGTTGCAACAAGTCCATACAGTAGATATGTAGATTGCTTCCTGTCAGGGGCAGTGTGGAAAGGCGTTTCCTTCTGTTTTGCTGTTGTGATTAGGGAAAAGCTGAATGGATGCTCTCAGCAGGAGCCGTAGTGTTAAGCTTTTCAGGCCTATAAACAGCTTAGTTTTTTGGTTTACAATGAATGTCTCAACAACTACTGGGTAGATGGAGTTGTTTTCAGAGCCATTCATGACCCCATGACTTAGGTGAACATCTAAATTTTGCTTAAGTCCCATTATGAGTGGAATTATAATCTTGCCATGAAATTGGTGGCCACGAAATCCAGAGGATAAAAGTACTCCACAGAGTCAGCTAAACGTAATTGTAGTGGGAGACTGTTTCAAAGGGTTGGAAAGGAAGCCACACTGCTAAAGCTCAGTCCACACCTAGTCTTCAGGCTTGTACGTAGAATGACCAGCAGATTCTGAGATTCTCATAGAAAACTATGAGTAGCAGTGTGTTTGATATAAAGATGGACTAAATAGTTTAGTTCTTTGTAATGTGAACGTATTAATAGTCTGGCCGCAGCTTTCTGTATCGTTTGGATGCATGAGAGATCAACTGTTCAAGTTAGTAATCGTAATTGTGATGAATATGTTCCTCTAGTTCCACCAAAGATCAATTTAGAAATGTTCCTTAAATGAGAAAAACAGGAACAAGAAAGGTTTTTACATGAGAGTCAAACCCAGAGAGGAATCAGATATTTCTCCAAGTTTTCAAACAAAGGATTTACTGGTTAAACAAAATGAAGTTTTGTTGGTGTCTAAAACGAAGTAATTGATAGAGAGCCAATCATTAATCCTGGGTAAATGCTGGACTAGAGTGGACAACGTATCCAACTGGTGAGGCGTAAAAGACATACACAGCTGAATGTCATCAGCATAGAAAAGATAAGAAAAGACTGAATGATGCGAGCTGAAGGGAAGAAATGTAGAAATAAAATAGTATTGGTATTAATGGTTTCAAGAGGATGATGCTCAGTGACTTAAACAATCCATTAATCTTTTCTTCTAGCTACACCATGAGTTTTTTTGAGTTTTTTAGTGAAGTGTCTCCATAGCTTTGAGATTAAATGCTATGGAATTTAGTAGACATAATCAAGTTAAAATTTGGTTTGCGTCCAAGTGTAGTTTGGTCTAAATGTCATATGCAAGTATGCTAATGTGATTGTGTGTAGATTTGAAGGGCATTGGCATCGGCATCAGGAGCATTTTAGCATTAGCTTAGGAGTGTACCCTAAGCTAATGCAGCTGAGGCGTGTTCCTCTTTATTTGTTCATTTGTTTCAACAAGCACAATATTTAATGGCTGCAGGACAACTGAGATGAAACTCTGGAGAAGTTCCTTTTCTTTCTAACAGCTGGTTACTTGCTCACACTTTATGGGAGTATGTGTCAGATGCAGGGAGTCTTGTAGATGGGGATTAGTGTTGGGTGTCACTATCGTGGCGGGTGCAGTCTGAGGGCTGTTAACTCTTTTGTGTATGTAAACTGATCCTCAAATAATCCTCTATCTCCTGCCTGGTTACTCTGGGAGTATAAAAGACATCATAAATCCACCTCAAGCCTCACATTTATGGACTACCATGCTCCACTCTAGCTTGGGAAACCTGCGTTCTTCATACCTGTTCAAATCTGTCTGTCTGGGAACAGGAAGCAGACGTCTGGGTATATATTGTCACAAATACCAGGTGCATTAATTGAACCAGACTTGTTTAAGTACCCAAATTCAAAGAAACTTCACAGACATAGAAACCTGCTAGTTGCCTTTGTGCATCTGAGAGGCATGTGGTGCAGACACACTATGGCTGAGCAAGGTCAAAGTTTAAGGCTCAAGGTCTTCAAATATTTTCCAGCTGGTTTAGATTTTTATTTTTATTTTTTATTTTTGGCTCCAGTGTGTTTTCAACAATATTTCTGTCAGGGAAGAAATAGTCTTTGCAACTAGCTAGGAAATGTTTGACTAAATACTTTAGAGTCAAATATTAAATCTTAAATCTTTATGTCAGACATTATTCAAAACACCCCTGAGACATCATCAGTTTAAGGCCTGGGAAGAGTTCTTCAAAAAAGTGAACTGTATAAGTGTGCATATGTTCTCGCAATTGTTCACGGTGAAGCAACGAAAATGCTTGTGATTCATAAAACTAACTCTGGTCCAACTCCACTGAAGCAGCTCTCTGTGCCTGTTCTTATGATCTCATCTGCTTTACACAGTCCAAACATATTGTACGTCAGCTCACACACATACACAAGGACCACAGATCTGGCTCATTTTCTCCACTGGAAAAGACAGGGGGGTTGAGGAAGGCGAACCGCTGTTGATATCTCAACAGGGTGACAAAGATCAAAGTTTGTGATGTGCTCTTACACACACACACACACACACACACACACACACACACACACATACTGAGTGTTACACAACGGGATGTAACCACAAGGGGACGAACGTCTGTCCCGACCCTCTCTGTAAGGGCACTCCAAGGGCTGGGCAGTGGAAACCTCACAGTGCGGGCGGCACACGTGTCAACAGTGGCCCCCGGCTCCCTTTGCTGCTCTGCCAAACATTGGTTGGAGAATGACTAACAGACTCCCCAGAGGCAGCAGGGAAACCATGGCACAAAAAACCCTCAAAGAAAAGAAACAACTCTCAGCTTTAACCTAGAGCTGTATTTAGAACATGAGCACAAATACTTAAAAGCTCCTATATAAGCTCCTTTTAATCTTTTCTGGCGTTCCTGCTTACATTTGTTAGACAAAAACTCTCTGTAGGTTATCTACAGGTTGACATTTTATCCATCTAGTCTTGAGACAGCCTTGGGTAGGGAAACCATTTTTTTCTGTGTAGTAAAATGAATGATATCTCTCACCCGAAAAGGGTTTTATTGCAGTGTAATTATGATATGTAAAAGGTTTGCAATAAAATAAAACTTGGCGATAGCAGGAAGGAAGAACTTCTTTTTAACAGGAAGTTTACAGCTCAATTAAAAACGCTTTTGGAAATTGATAAATGGAGAATTCAATAGGAAAATTCAACTATTATTGCTAGTGGAAGAACAATCAGATGAATCCACTTAGTAGTAAGACCACATTATAAAGAATGACTATGAGTCTTGAATTCAAAATTATGAAGTGTATATATAAGATTTTTCAAGAGAACATATGCCATTTATAATAATCTATTAATGTGCATTAAACTAGTTCAAATTAGTTATAGCTTGTGATAAAGTATAGAGGGTTTCAAATGGAAACACCCATGCATGAGGTTTGGAGCTTGAGTAGCAGTGTATATTTCATCCGTGTGCTGTGCCAGATGTGCATTTGAGACCACCTGCTGCTTCCTGTTTGTATCATCTTTGACTCTGCAGAATTGCTGCCACTGAGGTTATCAGTGGTTGTGTGACAGCCGGACGGCCGTTACGCTATCAGCCATTGACTGACCCCAGGTCAGCTGTGTGGGCTGCTTGATGAGAGGCCTCGGGCTTGTTTTTCTCTTCGTCTGCATCCGCTCCTCATTCCTCTTTTTTCCAAGTCTATTTTAACCTTTCCCCTCTTCCCCCACAGCACACACACATATGCACAAACGAGCACAGGCATAGATAGAAATGTTCTGTTTTTCAACACTTTAAAATTTTACTGCCTCAATCACAAAACTTTACAGGGAGTGCAGAGCCTGATCTGTGGCCTGATCACAAATCATTCAACATAAACACAGCGAATGAGGCCCACTTCAAACGAGCATGTCTCTTCACAACTCATTAGACTCCCCTCTTAAAGATCTACACCAGGAGCCTCCCTGCCTCTTTTCTCTGTTCCTTCTGCACACTCTTTTCATCCTCCACACTCCTGCTTTTGTAAAATATGATGGGAAACCGGGAGGCGTAACTCTGACCTGCACTTCCTCAAGCACAGCAGAAATGACTGATCATCTTCGAGCCTTTATATGTGCAATTAAAGCACTAACCCTGTTCTTGTCCCTCCCTGTTTTATCTTTTAGGTGTGTTTGATGTGACGCCAGCGGGCTGGCTCAGGGAACACAACTTCAATACAATGTAGACACCAAAAACCAAGCACAATAAGAGTCTGAAGACCGCACCGACAGGAGGGTGAGCTCAAGGAGGAGGAACCTGCTGTACTGAGACAACACCAGGTTAAGATAAGGAGTGAGAGAAGTGGAAAGAAAAACAGAGAAGGAGCAGGCTGTGAATCATTGACGTGAACCTTTTGTGTACAGCGGTGTCACCTTCTTCTTCCTCTGAAGGGTTTTCACTCGCTCTCACGTCTTCGCTGCAGAACGATCACAACCTTTGCTCTCTGTCTTTTGAGGACTTTCTATCCGCAATCCAGCGTTTCATCTCTCAGCAAGTAAAGGTCTTAAATCGCAACAGAGGGAGCCATCCAGCCACCGTCAGCATGTGCCATGTTATTGTCACCTGTCGCTCCATGCTGTGGACTCTGCTGAGTATTGTTGCCGCGTTCGGAGAGCTCATCGCCTTCATGAGCACCGACTGGCTCGTTGGATTCCCCCGTGCATCCGATGCAGTTTTCGGCCCCCATGGGGCCACCACAGCCGGAGAGGCTTACAGGCCCACTTTAGGCATCTATGGTCGCTGTATAAAACTGCCTCAACTGCGGGGAATACTGTGTGGACCGTACGCAGTCCACTTTGGAGAGATTGCCAGCGGGTTCTGGCAGGCTACTTCTATCTTCCTGGCTGCAGGGATCCTGTTGCTGTGTGCCGTGGCATTCATTTCCGTCTTCACCATGTGCTTTCAAAGCATCATGAAGAAGAGCATCTTTAATGTGTGCGGACTGCTGCAGGGAATTGCAGGTGAGATTCTCACACAATTTATATAAAACAGTTTTGATATTTAACACGACTTTGAAAGGTTTGGCGCCCATACTGGTTTTTGGTCAGATGCTCAAATTTGTCTGATGGATGGAGAGCTTTAGAAAAGCACACGCCTTTATGGGCAGTAGCTTTCCGAAAGTAACAATCTGACATCCACACTTTGGCAATGATTGACCAGATCTGGAGGTGAGAAAGTAAACGAGGTCTTAAACTGCCTTACTTTTCACATCAGTGATACAAAGAACATATAAGCCATATTTAACAAATATTTGTCTGCTTTCTGTAATGCCTGGCTTTCAGTTTACCTTCAAAACACTGTGACTGAACGACTTTAATCTTCCTCGTGCTTGTTTTTCTCGTACCTAATGAGGAGTCAGTTTAGACTGAGGACATGGAGTTGAGAAATACGTGTTCAAGTTTTGTAATCTGAAAGAAAGTTTGTTCATCTGAACCGTATTGTTTCTGTTCATTCCTGCGGCGTCCACCGTTCATCAAGGTAAATGAAACGCTGTGCTCTCAGTTAAACACATTCATTATGAGCACCACAACTCCCACTGCTGGAATTATGTGTTTTATTCTTGTGGAGCCCTCAGTGAGTCTTAACCCAAGCAGAAGTTTAAAGGGCATGGTGACTCTTTGTCATCAACTGGAGCAACTACCGCCCAAATATTTATTCTTCACGCAGTCAGCTGGAGCTTTCTGACACTCCTCTGGTCTCCAAAGGGGTCGAGTACGCATGCGTATCTCTCTTTATGTGTGACGGCCGTACATTCTGTGTCTGTGCCTGTGCACATGAGGTCAGATCCCGGGCCACTTTGACTCACTGTGGTGAATTATGGAAGGGAGGAGGCCATGAGATCATGCTCGCTGAACCTCATCTTTTTTTCACAGAGTGTAGCCTTCAGCTCTCCGGTGATTATGGCTGTCCTCCCCCACAGTTGTTTATTTGTGGGAGGCCCAAACAGAAACGGTGGGTGTGTAGACAAGGATAAGCCAAGCTGTACCTTCAGATCTATGCAGGCCTGCTGACCTGAAAGAGCAAAATCCATTCAGCCAGTGGGTGGCTCCTTTGAATGCATTTCTTTTCATTAAGATTAAGTTGCTCAATGTTTATTTAGGACAAAACATTCATTTACCAATGCCTCTATTCAGCGGCATAACCTTAACTCAGTGAGTTAATGTATAGGAGACAGATGACTCTTTGTCAGCTATCTTAAATTTATTATGCTGCTGATACTGAGGAACTAAACATAGATTTCTCTGGCTATTATAGGCCATATTGAACAAGCAGAAATCCTTCAAAACACTATTTGTAATGCCAGTCATTCTTTCTTTAGCTTTCTACATATGAGGAGGTGGCGGTGTGGCAGAACTACTTGGTTTTATAATATACATAAAAGTCAGTCCTATACTATTTTCAGCTTGAAAATAAATGAACATTTCAAAGTCATCTTGAAAGCCTACAGAAATTAAAAAACAAAACAGAACTCCCTACTCCCAAGTACCTATTTGACCCATCACTAAGTCATACAGTGACTTGATCAGTTTAAATGAGTTTACCAATAAAATTTGTTGCAATTTGAAGTGATCGGGTGACAAGTAAGTTTGCTTCCTATTTTGGTAAAACAGCATTTGCGAGCAGGATTCAGGATTTAGCATTAAAGATTGTTTCCTGAGATCCTTGCATGTTGCTTTCCAGCTGATGTTCAGTTCAAACAGTTTTCAGTAACAGATTGAGGTTAGAGTAAATGCAAAATGAATGTCTGTTTCCATCCGCTGCCATTATGAGAAAGCCACATGTGTTTATAACTAGACTAGTTGTTGCAAGGGAACTCCAACTAAAGAGCCACTTTGGAAGTCAACAAGGAAGTGGTAATTAATAGACTCAAAAGAATTTTGGTGGGGTACACATTTAAGTAAGCAGTTGAACATTTGCTAAGCCGTACAGCGTCTCAGACTTCTTCTTTGGACATGTTCATATTCACTTCAGAATAAGTTGGTCATATATCATTCGAACTTAGTTGCAATTTTTTTTTAAAGTAGATAATAGCCTAATAGCCACCAAAGTAATGACAAGAAGTTTTTGGGTGCAGCGCTGTAAACCTGTTTGTGGCCAATTTCACGCTAGCAACTGCCAGGAAACACTCACCAGCTTATCAGGGCATACACATTTTTACCTAGGGAATGCTAGTTACCAGGGAGTCGCTCAATTTGTTCCCCATAACACACATTACTGACTAGCATGGTAAACTACAGTTTACACTGAGAAGTATATTAATGATTGGATTGAATCCATTCATTTTACCTCTGTTTATGTTCCAAAGAGTGATGAAAAACAAACCATCCTCCACACTGAGCCCAGATTGACGGTCATATGTCAGGTGATCTATAAAAGTGGATTCATGGCCCCACAAAGCACAGTGTTACATAACCGTAAAGTCCTCTATTTACATATTAAGTCATTGGATTGCGGGAGACATGGTTGAGATAAAGAAAAGGGGAGAAATGCACCCCTGAGTTTCCTCTTTGTTGAGAGGATGAGGATGTGAAAGAGGAAAGGGGGCGAGGAAAGCATCAAACAGTTGAGGAGGCGGGAGAGTTTCTTTTGTGCTTCCGAAGCACTGTTTTCAGCCACAGGATGAGAAAGGAGATGGTCAACTGCATTGGTATCTTAACAGTGTCACTACTTCCTACATTAGTCAGCCATTGTGCTCTACAGCCTTCTACTCCACTTTTCACGAGGCCAGTGAATGATATCACAATCACTTGATATCCATCACCAAGGCTACCACACCGACTTTTCTACTATCATTATTTCCACAATGCGTGCCGACCCTCCGGTAATGAGAAAACTGGAGCCAGACGGCAGATGTTTGGGGAAATGATTGACCTCAGATAGGAAGATTGCGACTCTCTTGCCAGAGACGGTCACGTCATTTCACTGGAGTGACTCCCAAACCTATTAACCTCGTCTTCACATTCGTTGATGTCACTTGGACTTTGTACTTCAGTCTCTGCAGTCTTTTTTATACGACGCCTTTCTGATGGCCGCAGTGTCCCAGATGCAATTTAAACAGACAAATAGTTTAAGCTCAGATGGTTTTGAGATTTCAGGAGAAGTTCAAGTCATTCCTTTCACCTTATGCAATCAGATAGCTAAAACAGACAGACTCCTGTTGAAGGTCAGCCGGGTTAAACTTTGCATCCCGCAGGCGCACACTTTAGGGGCCCTAAAGACTTGTTATACCCCAGTTAAACTTGCTGTACATTTACTAAAATGACTCATCGTCACTCAAGCTGAAAGGGATTACAGATAGAGCGGCAAACAAACAGGGCCATAAAACTGTCTCAGATTCTTGCACGTTCTGTGTCAAATACTTTTATTACCTTCCATAAACTTAAACAGGTTTAATCGGTGACTGTGACTAAGCTCCAGGCTGGAGGAGAAACAAAATAAAGCAGTGTCTTGCGGGAATTTAAGCTGTGCTGTTGAGTAATGATGACTCTCACACAAGATATCACGTTACATAAAAGAGGGAAGCAGACTTGTCAGCTCTGAATGATAAGAGATGCGATTCCCATGCACTGATTAGCTTTTCCTGTGGTTACAGCGGAGGTGTGGATGTTTCATAATGATGGTAAACAACTTTTAAAACCAAACTAACAACCTCTCTTACTGAAGACAGAACTGACAGTTTGGAAGTGAACAGAGACGCAAGCCAGTGCAGAGAGAATAGGGTGGAGCACACTGGGATATTAGGTTAGAAGGTCCAGCTTGAAGGTGGAATGGGAATGAGTGTGTGTGTGTGGAGTGGGGGTCTTTGGAGGGGTGGGGTTGTGAATTAAAACCATGCCTTCAATCCATCAGCAGAGCCGGTCTGGCCGTTAGGGCAAGGCAGCAACATGTGGAAAGAATTTATGACCTAGTTTTCATTTCCCTGTTTAATACGATATTGGGTGCTTTAGAGAATGGGAGGAGGAAGAAAGAGGAAGAGAGATTAGAAGAGAAAAGGCATGTTCTCCGCCAGACTTGAAGCAGGCTACACGTGAGGTTTTTATGGAGCGAAGCTAACAGGACCTGCTTGTTGAAAGAGAGCTAAATCCTCGTTCCCTGTCTGGCTGTTTTATTGTCAGTAATTGTATTACTGTAAATGCTTCCTCCTGAGCTTTGATTGAAGGCAGACTCCTTGTCCGGCCATCTGACCTCGTCCGCTGTCATGGCAGAGCAGAGTAGAAGAAACGACGCAAACGCATTTAGAACGAAGGTTGCCTTTCCATCTATGAGACAAGCCGTGCGTGCCGAGGGGCTGAAGCCAAGCTGAAGAGGCAGAGTGGTAGAAGTGGGTCATGGTAACACAGGAAGCGACCCCCTCCTCCTACAAAGACTCAGGACGCCGGAGGGTTGGCCAGTGACCGGGCCAGGCGGGAAAGTCCATCGGCTACTTTTATCCTGTTGATCTAGTCTCTGCTTTGTGCACAGGATTGAGAGGTCTTTCTGTCATACATCAGACAGGAAATCATTTCTGCCAGTTTAAACGTTTTCTTCTTCTTTGTGTCCTGATAGGATGCTTGAGCTGCCAGCACGCCGCTGCGGCCGGAAATGTTTTTTATTTTCAAGAAAATAATCTGCCCGAGTCTCTTGCAACAGTGACACTTTACTTTCACTGTCACCTACTTAGCACCTATGCGGCAAGCACTGCTTAATACATGTTTAGAGCACAGGAGGTCTTCTCGATGCACTGGTGAATCCACATTGAGTTTATGGAGTCACTGCTTTATCATGTCCTCTTTGATGGATTTTCTTGATGCCGTCCCCTAGATTTCATTTAAAAAGTCTTGACAAGAATGTGTCCAAACCTGCAGACGTCCCTCCTACCGTTGAAGCAACCCTGGCCGCTGCATAAACAGACGCAGTAAAACAAAGCTGTAATCATATTTAACCATATGTGATTAGAATCACGGACAAATACTGACAATGTGTTTATATATGTGCACGGATTTATAAACATGCAGACGAGATGACGTGGCGCTCCTCGGTTAATTGTTCACATTGAAAATAACGTTTCACTCAAAAGCCACTTGGTAGATTTTCCATGTGCGTTCAGCTGCTTCTCGTGGATGAAGTTCAGCTGGCACAGAAGTATTTCTGATGCTTTTTCTTCCCTCTTTATTTATGTGTGTAGACATTTTTAAGATTGCAGCTGTTCTATATTGTAAAAGTCATCTGAGCAAGAGGCCTGAATGTTGGCCAAGATAAGGAGCTGTGCTGACGCTGTGTTTTGGGTGTTTTGGGTTTTCTTTGTAAAGAAAACTCATCTTTCTTGACGCCACTGTTACAGAGTGTTGTGCAGGCTAACTGCTATTTCTTCTGCTTGATACAAGCATGCCGTGAAAGCTAGTCTGTCTCTGAAATGAATCCACTCCTAAACTGTTGATATGATGTGTTCGCTTACTGACGTACATCATGACGTTACTGCTTAGCTTAGGAAATTTGGGATTTCCATCTGTAGCATGCAGGATTAAAATTAAAAAGCTGGTGAAAGCCTGCTTTGAGTTAAAAGCTCTTCTGCTGTTGAAGCGCACCGTATTTCAAGGTATAATAAGCACAGGGCTGCTACGTATGCTGGATTTCATTACAAACACTTGAGTTATGATGTCTTTTATTTGTTTCCCTTCTTGCAGGTCTGTTCCTGATCCTAGGTCTGATGCTGTACCCTGCTGGCTGGGGTTCAGACAAGGTCCAGCTGTACTGCGGACCAGACGCGGCGCCGTACCGCGCCGGTCTCTGCTCCATGGGCTGGGCCTTTTACACCGCCATGGGTGGCACTGTGCTCACCTTTGTCTGCGCTGTCTTCTCTGCTCAGGCTGAGATCGCCACCTCCAGCGATAAGGTTCAGGAGGAGATCGAGGAGGGCAAGAGCCTGATCTGCCTCCTGTGAAGCTCAGATAACACTTATTGTGCAGGTGGGGGGAGAGAAGAAGGATGAGGCAGAGATGTGCCACTTATGATCTGGCCCTCTTCTGCCTATTCAAAAATAAAAAAGCTGGCCTGTGAAATTGAGGGCCCATTCATTGTTTACCACTAATACTGACTCTTATTTTGTCTCAGTTTTCTGTTTGAAGTGGGAGAAACTTATAAGTGCCAAGTTTGTTTGTTTTATTTCTAAGTTTCTGTCTTTGTCTTTCTGCCACTAGAGGTGCTGTGTCTGTTATGTATTCATTTTAAGCATGTGGATGCCCTGCGAGGCATTGTCTGTTACCACATGTTCTGTAAATAAGCGTGATTATATATATTTTGTACATAGTTATGATCGCAGAATGATGGTCAGCTGGATCCAGGCTGGGCTGATGATGTCACTCTTGCCTTAAAAAAAAAAAAACTATGAAAAAAAACTTTAAAAAAATAAACCTGGATCTGTTAACTGTCAACAAGGGAACCACTAGTCAGTCAGAATAAACTGCTCATAAAAATAAATGGCCTTTAGCTCAGAGTGGATGTTCTTTAGAGCTTACAGAATGTACTATTTGATTAATTAATGTGTTTGTAGACGCTTGAAATGTATCGGTGGAAACGATTCTTCACATGGACTGCACAAGGACGAGCAAAGGAGGCTCTTCGGTGCATTTTGTTTGTCAAATCCTAACATGAAGTGGGCTTAATCCTAACCAGTTGACCTGTGAAGTGTCTGGTGCTCCTCAGCAGACATCCTGTAATCTGTGCACATGGACTGAATGATGAGGACACATAAATAAATGAAGTATTGCTGTTGTTAAGTAACTGGTTCTGGGAGTGTGTCGAGTCATACAGAGTGTCCTGTCTATTCCCATTTGTTTCTGCCAAACAAATAAAAAGGAGGGGGGAAAAATAAGTTTGGTTTCAGTTCTTATCCAGGGAGAGCCTTGCTGTGGGGAAGGGGGGAGAAGGAGGCCCAGCAAGTGGAGCAGCCAGCTTGAGACCTCGGTTTGGCCCTTGAGGTGGGGGTGGGTGCATTTTCCAACCAGTGGGTGATCAGTTTTTCCACTGATGCAGAACTCAGCTCTCCATGTGTGTACCTCGTTTTCAGTGGTGTAATGTAACTAAGTATATTTAGTGAAGTATAGCTTTGAAATACATGTTCTTTAGAACTCTGAGCTACTGAACTGCAGAAGAAAAAAATATATTTTATACAGTTAAATAATAAACCAGTTTGATTAGCGTCTAGCTAGGATTCATTATCATGTACAGATCTATCATCTAAATTAATATTGTTTTGGTTATATATGGTATATTGGGTATTTTGTTGACAACTTGATTTTGTAAAACTATAGACTGTATGTAAAGGATGAATGTTGCCACCTTTGCATTACTTAGCCTTTTGTGAACTCCAGTTTGGAAGCCTTTAAATTAAGCATCTCCAGAAGTGGATATATTAGGTCAAGAGAGCAGATAATGAAGTTAAAAGCTAATATTAGCCACCTTGTTTATCAACAAGATTTCTTGAACAAGTTCTTAGCGCAAACTAATGCACAGTAAGCCATATTATTTGTGAGACGAGTGCATTAAAATGCTCCCAAAGGTAAAACACACAATAAAACATGTTCAAAAGGCCCAATTCAATGACTGGATTTAGCAAAAGTGACTACTAGCATTCAGTTAGCGACCTAGTCTGTACTTACCGTGTGCTTAATGCAAAAACCTTTCACTGCCTAAATGGACAACAACACATTTCTCACCTCTAGCGTCTGTTTGGCCCTTTTCCTCCCCCAGCACTGAATGCCAATACTTGCACTCAACCTGAGTGTATTTGGAGTTCCTTCCACAGATGTCCCGGCCTCCATGTGGACTACAGAGAAGCTTCCAGCTCAACCCTGTGGCTCCCTTCCTCCACTTCAGACTTAGCTCAAACTAAACACAGTGCTTGATGACTTCCAGATTAGGCACATGACAAATAGTGCAATCTGAAGAGCGCAGCAGAAAGTCAGGCCTGCTTTGCTGCCACAGGCTTTTACTTTTCGCTTCTCATTTTCCTTTTGAGTCAGGAAAAAAAAAAAAACTTAAAGAAAAGAGCCAGAACTTGTGAGCTTTGTTTCCTTTCAAACCAGGAAGAGGAAAATTTCAGTCTCACATGTTGATAAGTCATGTTAGAGAGGGACTTACACATGATTGTATGAGAATCTGGTTCAAATTTAAAACTGAAAAAGCCTGGACTGATGTCAGATTTTACCTTGACACACACAAAAAACTGTTTTTATATTGATAATTGTTCCTGTCCCTATATGTAATGTTAATAAGGGTGGTTTGTAACGAGAAACCTCCCTCACTGCTGCTTTACTCAGATCCAAGAAGCTAATTAGTGACGTTCTGCTCATTGTTTTAATTTTTTGGAAATAATAACACAACTGTAATCATCCAGGGGCAGCTGACAGTCAGAGGAAGCCCATGTGACAGCACGGACAGAGCAGCCAACAGCACATTGGGTTTTCACACACTCCTAGAAAATGTTTCAAATGCATTAAAGAATGGCTGTTATTTCTCCTCTGTGCCCCTTCCTGTTGGCAGTGAGTCTGGTCTGCTAAAAGTTTCCTCCTTTGCGAGAGTGTCGTCCTGCTTTATTTCACGCAGATCTGTTTCAGACTCAGCAACTTGTCGCTGATGTTGGAGGACATCTTCAACTTCATAAAAGCGTTCAAGGGACTGGATGGAGATAATTTCAGCTAGTTTTTCTTTGAAAATTGTTGTTTAAAATCATCATTATAAGAATTAAAAGACTTACAGGTGGATATATTTTTTAATTAAAGTGGTCAGCAACAATATTCAGGTAGGCTGTGGTTTACAGCAGGTCATCTTAACCAGGTCTAAATGCCTATATGCACTGCGTTGTTGCCATGTGGTCTAATGAAGTGGCCACTTGAGCAGCTAGCTGTCAGCCAGACCTATGTCAGTGCGAATTAGCATCTCAGTCTTTACTGAAGCTGAAGCAGAGGCGCAAATGTTACTTACATTTTTACACGTAGCAAAGGGACTTATTTTGTCAATCACATAACAATGAACTGGTTTCCAGCAAACATTTAAAGACTCACAGATGAGCCATGTACACACAAAACCCAATTATTCTTTTTAATAATTATTATATTATTATAAACCCACTTTCTGTTGGGTCCAATTCTTTTATAAAGGTCAGAATTGTTTCAAATGTCTTTGTTTAGTAGACATATTTCTGCCCGTCTTTCAGTATATGTCGTTCATTGTAGTAAAACATTTGATATGATTTGTCTTCCCCATTGTTTCACTTTTGATATACGAGTTTCCTTTTTATTTTCACAAAACATGTTATTAGATTTTCAGCATTTAAAAAGTTGAAACTTTGATCTCTGTCCGGAATGTTTTATTAATCCTAAATTGTTAAACAAAGTGAAACATTGTTCCTTTAGCCTCTTCATATTTAGTACTACACTGAGTGTTGTTATTTTATTGATAATCTTACAGTCTTTCTCAGATGTGGCCCCTTTCTTCTGCCTACCTACAGTTTGAACCTCTTAAATGAACTCAGATTAATTTTCTTGTAAAACAAAATCTGATGCTGTTGGCTGGAAGTCACTCTAGCCATATTTACTCTGAGGTGACTCTGATCTTTACATCCTTTGATAAATACTGACCTCATCTGGTTTTCGACAGATAGTGCAAGCTCATTTCCCCCCCTGCTTTTTTCCCAGCTTCAAGTCTTATTCTTGGAATCTGCTGAATAGTTTTGCTTGACTGAGGGTTAAAAATATCTAAACTTATTCCGGGCTTTTGTGCAACTTTAATGCAATGTTGTTGTTGTTTTTTTTAATCCAAAAAACATTTAAAGCTGTTGTTAGCTGGAGTGGATTTCAGTGGGGATGAATCCCTCACTTGTCTCTTCGTGAGATTATTATTTTTTTTTGTGTGTGAAATTCACAAACAGCTGACAAAAACAGGAAAAATTTTGAATTTTTGGAAGACTTTATTTATAATCCACAATCTGCATACTTGTGGTTCACCATAAGCAGCAAGGTGGTGAAATGTTAACCTGCAGGATAAACCATTCACTTAAAGTCCCACTCAGGAAAACTAATAACCCACCTCCTCTCCTTTTATGGCATCATTCTCTTCTCTTTGGTTCCCTCTCAGTAACAAAAGGTTTGTGGGTGGGTGGGGAGTCTGTACTCGTAGCCAGTGCTCATGCTGTGCTTGAGTTGACCATGTACTTAATGACATCATGCAACGTTTTTAAGGAAGTTTGGTACTTTTGGCTCACAGCTAATACTTTTAGCCAGTAGTTAATACTCATTTGAAAATTTGGTCATGCTTAATATATTAAGACATACTCTTCTTAGATGAGACCACATTTTTAGCACCTATGAAATTTGAAGTTTTTCATAATTTTTTTTTTTAAACAGTGCAAAGGATTTTCAACATAGCTTTTCTAAATTCGTTTTCATTAGAAATCATAAATTAACAGAACTGACTACGAGAATTAAATTACTAGGGTCAATATTATTAGCCTCCTGAGAAATGGCTCTTTTATTGAGCCACAGCACAAACCACTGCTGTGCAATGATGAATTTTAACTTTGCAATGCTCAAAGCTGGTAAAACCAAGTTAAAACTGAGGGTTACCTTCCAATTTACACACAGTATAAAAACTTCAGCGAGGGTGTGAGCTGTCACTTGTCATCATGCCAAAAACAAAAGAAATGACTTTAGACTTCAGTTTAGAGAAAAAAATTCGTTGATGCTCGCAAAGCAAGAGATGGATGTACAAAGCTATCACAGCATTTCAAAGTGTCAAGAACTGAAGGGAGAAATTTCATCAAGAATCAAGAAAGAGTCGCACAGTACAGAACAAGTCTCGCAGAAGTAGGAAGCCAAAGATTTGAAAGACTTGGGAAAGAAAACTCATGAGAGATGAGTCTAAAGACCCCAGAACAACTGCTAAGACACGAGCGAATGACTTAGCCAAGTTGGGAATTACAGCCTCAAAAAAGATAGTCACTTAAACCCTGCACAGTAATGAACTGTGAGCTTACAGACCAAGAAACACTCCACTTCTGAAGAAACAATGGAGAGGTGTAGAACCCAAAGTCACCATCATCACAGGGGTGAGAGTGTCATTGCTGTCAGGAAGGACTCATGAAGAAATTAAAGGCATGAGAAGATTCTGAAAGAAAACCGATCAGCATCAAAACTTGATCTGGGCCATTGCTGTGTCTTCCAACATAATAACGACCCAAAACATACGTTGGTCCTTGTGAGGAACTACCTCCAGAAGACCATTAAATCTGGAGAAGCTTGAGAGAATTACCAAAGAATGGACTGGGATTGACAAGACAATATAAGAAGGCAATAAAAAAATCCAAAATAAATTTAGGATGTTTGGAAAGGCTGTCTAATAATAATAATAATAATAATAATAATAATAATAATTCCTTGCTCTGTTTAACAGCATGGAAATTCTTACATTTTCATCTATATGTCTGTGTGTGACACAGAAGTATAATGGGTACCTTTTAACGTTTTTCTCTACAATGCAAATATGAGCATAATTTCATACAAAGAGAAGCCATGAAACATATAGAAGAAGAATTTTATTCAGCGTTAATACAATAAATATACAAAACTCAAACTACTGGTCATGCGATTATAGGTGAAACCTTAAAATTGCACAAACATTTAGAGCAGATAGTCTACCATTTGTAAACTGCACAAAACATACACACATCCCTTCATATTTCATCTCAAAAACATTGATATATATTAATATATATAAAATTTAAGAGATGTGGATCAGCATTTTAATTTTCATTGTTTTTATACCACAATTCATGACTCTAAAGCACAGCTTGAAGCCACAGTCGGTCTACAGTAC